ATCAAACATTACCATTAAATGCCCACCTACGTCTTCATGTGTCTGTCCAGCCTACCAAGTCCATTCTCATTCACCTAAACGAGCTTAGTGACGGTCTTAAAGGGACACTCTAAGCACCAGGACCGCTGCATCCTAATGTACTGATTTTGGGGTATAGATAGATGCAGTCTTTTTTCTCTGACAATGTAAAAAATTGCAGTTTCTGAGAAACAGCTTTGATTACAGAACACAAGAGACCTGGGCCCTGGAGAGAGGGAAATTTAATTTTGTTTTTTTTTTGTTGTTTTTTGGTTTTTTTTTAAAGAGGGAGGGAGCATAAATAAATAAATAAATATAAACCAATAAAATAACAGCCAAATAATATCTTCAGGGCTTAAAATTCCATTTCCTATGCTACTAGCAATCCCACATTTACCTCGGGGTACATTTATACTCACATTTACACCCCTAGGTCAATCCCACATTTATGACAATCCCCCATTTACCTAGGGGTACATTTATATTCACAAAGGAAAAATGTTCACTTGCCATAATCTAGTTGCAAAATTAAAATTTTGAGCCTTGATTTCTTTTTTTAACCCTTACAGTGTTCCTTTAATGATCTGTCCACTGTATTTGTTTCTTTTGCTTTTTCACACTAAACTATAGTGCGTTAAAATCTAAATGGCAAATTATAGGCAGATAACTGCTGATCTTAAAAATCGGCGATAGCCACAGCCTGGGTATTTAAGAATTTGGATTTTATTTGCTATAGTTTGTATCAAGGCAGCATTCTCTTTTTAAGCAACCTAGTTAATCAAATTAACCAACCAAAACCAGAACCATGATTTAAAGGACTGCAAAAATCACCAAGGCCACTTCATCGATGCAATGTTAAAAACTGCAAAGTTTACATTGCAATGCTAAATCCAGTGCTCAGTCACGTGACGCGGAAGCCCCCATACGAAAGCCCTGATTTAATGCTTTCCTACAGGGTGCGCGGTGCTCATCATACATGCACATAAGATAACCAAGCTCTCCTTGTGAGCATTGAATTGGGCCACGCAGGAGGAACGTATGCCTCCACAATGACAGTGTGCGGGAGGAGAAGTAGACAGTACAGAGGGAGCCTTGAATAAGTCATTTATTGGAAATGGGGGGGTTCTAAAACTAGAGACAATGACACTGAATGGTTTGTATTCATATTATTTAGTGTTCCTTTACACTTGGCATCCTATGCTACTAGCCAGGGCTGAAAAGCTGCTCACCACTGCATACCAGAGGCTAGTGGCGAGTGGAAGTTTTAGCCCGAGTTACAACTATGATGGAGAGGTATAAACTATCTGTATATCTGTTTGCTTGCCTTTTTATGCAGGAGGTTCCTAGGTATCTTGGGAGCCCCCACTGCAGGCAGGTAATGGGCCAACTCAGGGGAGAGGTCTAGTCGGGGGATAATCTCCCCAGCAGACTGCATGGCATTAAAGTGGGGCTCCTCTTTGAGCTGACCCCTTACCTAAGTACTTTCTGCACCCCCTGATGGCAGGCCTGTAAGGGTAGACAATATGGGGTAACCGTTTAGCAGATCCCTTATGGTGTTTGGGGCCTTCTGACTTCACTTTTATTATTTAGCCTCTCTTCTGGGCGGCAGGGCAGATGGATAGCTTCAAGTCCATCCATTACTTTTTGTAACTCTCACACAGCTGTTCGGAGCAAGGAAATAAGGGAGGTCATATTGGTTCATAGGGGGCTTGGGTATTTTTGTTACTTTTTCGGTTAATTCTGCACAAGCAGGGTGATACATTTTCCAAGTTACTGCTCTTTCCTCTGCAAAAGAATGTGCTTAAAGGAAGGCGATTCATGGCCAAAGTGTTGTTTGATCATTGTCCGTATTAGAACATACAAAGTATGGCAGAAACTGAATTGATCTGAAATAACGCAGTTTGGGGTCAACACGTTTTTGGATCCTATACGACATTTAGCAAATACTCCAAGTACAATTATAGGGCAAGTATTTGCATTTTCCATTAGTTTTGGAATTCAGAATTCCATATGGACCTTGGTGAATCTCCGTGTCCTTCGCAATAACTGCCCTAACTTTGGTACCTTTCTCCAACACTGTGTTCACTTAGCATCTTCTGACTTTAAACACAGTGTATTAAATGTAGACTCTATGTATTTCCTTGAAGGTAATTCATATCTGTAGCACATCACAAGCAGCCGGTAGTGACACCAGGAGCTGGCTGGCCACCTTTTTTAATAATTTCCCCAAATACCTCACACAACCCACCTACCCTTGGGATACATATCGACAAAGACTAAAGAGGAGTGTGTTTGAAATAAGCCATTTATATGCAGTCAATAGAAAAACCCAAAGTGTCTCATTACTATAACAGATGTGTGGGATATTGTAAACCTGGATGGTATTCACTTTGGTAAATAAAATATATTTTTAGAGTGAAGCATCTGCCTTGGAAGTGGATTGAGCTCTGCAGTCATATTTCTAGACAATAATTAGAGGAATAACCCTTTATTGTCCTGATAAAATACATAGGAAGGAGGAGAGATCATTTGAATCCTTTAAACACATTAAACTGCGGAAAAATACACAAATGTTCCTGCTATGCCAATGCTTTCTTTTGTACAGAATTCAGATATTTATCAAACACTAAGTGACGTATTTACTAAACTGGAGACCGTGGTGATCTGGCATAATAAGAGATATTTTTAGGCTAAAATATTCTAGATGGAAAAATAGCGCCGTTAGAATTTTTCTAAAATGTTACTATTTTAGTGTAAACATTGTGATTCCCCTGTCAATACTCTACAAGTACTTAAATAAATCGTACAAGGCTTTTGACTTTCCACTGAATATGGCCATGGTAGAGGAAGAGACTTTTAATTCACAGTTTTTTTCCTCAGAATTTGGCAAGACCAGCAGGCCAAGAGTTAAAAGATTAATCAATACACCTCTACCCTTATCTAACGTGGGAAGGTAAGGGGTGTCTGATGTGAGGAAGCAGAGAAGAGAAAAAAAAATATCACAAACAGAGTTCTCTAGGATCCCCCTGGACACACTCACTCCATGTGAGAAAGCAATGACGTCCCCAACACCTGGCTGTGTAGATGAAGGTTATTAACCAACGTTCGTGTCATCACGTTGTAAGGAAGATGGTTAAATCTCAATATGTCACTTTATATACTTGCATCCTCTCATTGTTGTGGTTATGGTGCTATAAATCTCCAGCTTTTATCTCAAAACATTTGATAAAATCATCCATTGCGACGGCCATCCTCCCCACCCCCTGTTTCAATCGCACTGATAATGCGGAAACCACAAAATCACGCTTGCACATTATCACGTTCAATTCTATTCGGCCTGGACAGATACGATGGGATGAGTGTTCCCAGTGCTCTTAGCATTGCTGTCCAGGTTGGATGGAATTACACTTATAAGTGTAAATTGCCTCTACTACTTCTAAGCAGGAGCTCCCATTAGCATCCTGAGCTAAGCTCATTGGCTGAGAATGTCAGATAATCAATCACAGCCAATGAGCTAAGCCCAACACTGCTATAGTAGTGGTACCAGGAGCAATGCCCAATGCCCAGGGGCGCCTTAACGTATTCCTTTAAGTACACAGTCAGAGAAATAGCTCTCCGGAGTGACAGAGAAATTCTCAGTTGGACTGGAAAAATCATCCCCATTAGGACAATTGAAAATAATCCCCACGTGCCTTAAAAGAACACACCATAACCACTACAGCTCACTGAGGATCATTGAAGGCATTTCTTTAACAGTTATCACTAAAGTATTTGAACTTACCAAATCTAGCGTTGCCTAATGATACCCACATTATCCTCATCTTCTGCCTCACTTCTGCCCAACCTAAAAAAAACAAAAATAACAAATTACAAAAACATTAAAACCAGTGAAAATAAGATCCTTGCAGATAGATGGTAATATGAAAAATGTTACTGCCGCTTTAATTCAGGGAATGTAAACACCATGGTTCATGACTCAAAGCTAATGTTTATTTAAGGGCATGAGGAGAAGTAGGATAAGATGAAAGAGGATAAAACCGAAAAAGAGTGCTATGTGTAGGTGCTCGAAATAAAATGGGATCAAACCGTGAGCTGCTCTTATATGACTGTGTCCTCTCACATCAGTTCGAATATCGAGAAATAGGAATAAAACAAAGTGAGATGTACTTAGCCACTGTATCCAGTTCTTAGAATGTAGTTATATAAATGAAAAGTAAAAAGATAACACAGATCAATAACTGTGCAGCTCAACATACTAATAAATCAATGGCTTTAGGTGATGTGTTTATATATATATATAGGACATACATGGGTCAAAATATCCAGAAACCATATATTAACCCAAACAGTGCTACCAACGGTGTGTGGGAATAGCCGGGACAGTTCTCACTGCCCTCCCTGACAAATCATAAAATGCATTCAATTTAATTCAACTTCTGGACTTGTCGGCCCCATCTGTGGGCTAATAGGGACCATTCTACCCCAATTCAGGGCAAATTAGGATTATTTTGGAGAGGCTTGATTTCTGGGGGATTTCTGATACAATCCAAGATTGCAAAAGAAAAAGGGGAAAAAGGAAAGGAAAAGCAAGGACGGGAAGGGAGCAAGACAATGTTTTTGATCCCAGTAACAGCTTCTCGGCATAGGGGATGGATATTTCTCTAAAGAAAGCTTGGAATTAACACACAACCATGGAGAGTAAATCCTGTGAATGGTCAGCTGGCTCTCATTGGACTCTATGTTACCATTCTATTCTCATTATTCATATACAGGAACTGAGCTTAAAGCAAACCTGGAGTCTCTTTGCATTGCTCGGATCGCATCTGTCCTTTCCAGCATTGATTTGTTACATGGCTAATTAATTCAGGAATAATATTGTTCGAGTGTGAACATTATCTTTTGCAAAATTTTCCACCATGAAAATTTTCACTTCAACAGATATATTTTATTTATAGTTCGATCTGTTAACAAAAGCATCAATCCACAAGTAACGCATGTAAACCTGTTGTACGTAACATTTAGAACGTTTTTGTCTGTGTTCTCCAATCGGAGTCCGGGGTCTACGTCCCATGTCCTAATTCAGGTACCCCCTCTCACTGATGGACACTGACACATTGTGTGCACATAATCCAGATTAAACTGCTGCCAGCTCCATGACACTGTGGATGCCAAAAGAAGCTGTTAGCACAGATGTTCAAAATAAAAAGGACCTTCGGATTCCAACAATGACACACTAACAGTATTTTTAGACTAGTGCCTGGCTCTGCTAAATACTCAGCTAATATTTCAGGAAGAAGTTAATTAAGGCAAATGTGTAGGTTGGCAGACAATTTGTTATGCTGGGTTTTTTTTTATTATTATTATTCATTTTCTTTAGTTTTTTTTTTCCTTTTAATAATTAATAGCACTGTAACTGTAGAAGCCCACCCTACAGCCCCCCCTCCACCTCCAGCATTCTGTGTTTGCCTTTTTGCTGCGTAGCTGTACGTGATAGAAATGGCTTTAATATGCAGATCGGCTGCATGTCAGTGTTCGATGGGAGATGCAATTTCCTCTTGAAACTTTATTGGCTACAGTTTGTTTCATTTATAAAAACCTCGAACTAAGCAATCTGCACCGGGTGTCTATTATCTTGTATTATTTATTTTAATGAAATAATTGGGAGCTGTACAGCATTCACTAGTCAGCTAGTAAAATGGCTAAAATGTCCAAATTATGATAGATACGGTGCACCGGGATTGGCTGGGCCAATTCCTGGTTTGATGAAAGCGCTCAATACAGAAGCTACATAGTCTAAGAATTTGCAGTTCACACAAGAACTTCAAAACTATTTCAATTATTTGCATATTTGCAGTAATTACAATTTTATGTTAATGTGCTCTTATCCACACTCGGGTGCTAAATCATTCCCATCATAAAATGTACAGTCGGGTGTCTTGTCAAAGTTCCCTCTATAAGCATATGATAGTGTACCTGGCAATATTTCAGGCAGGCGTTGAGTGAAAGATTGGAGGACATGGCTTTGCTTTTTTTACTCCTGAAAGAGACAGAAAGAAAAACAAAATGTTACAGTGGGTTTCAAATGCCCTCTCTCTCTCTCTATATATATATATATATGTATTTCTTTATTTTAAACAAACTTGTGTTTTCATTTGACAAAAGACTTTAATATCCTGGCACACGCAGGTTTCAAGCACTATAATATCAAATACACAAAAATGGTTATTTGTTTGAGAGAGGAGAGCGGAGAGCGGAGAGAGAGTGTGTGTGTGTATGTATGTATGTGTGTATGTGTGTGTATGTATGTGTGTGTGTGTATATGTATGTATGTGTGTGTGTTTTTGTTAAACATTGGTTGACCTGATTAAAATACTGTAAATCCCCATATTGGACATCTCAATAGATCTAATTGCCCCTTAAATCCACACAAACCCCCAATTAGTTTTGATTTCCTTTGTTATCTGCTTCTGCAATCAAAACTCAAATTGTGCCAACCTTCAAAATATGCCAGAAATGTAGTTATTTAATTAAAGTTATTTATTTGAACAACCTGAATTTGGGACAATGTAATCTATGTCAATGATGGCAAGAGTCTCACAGACAGGGTAATTAATATGAAGCATATTGACAGCTTGATCCAAACAGAAATGAGATTGCCAATTTGGATTTTAAAAGATACCTTCCCTTTTTGTAGCATGACTGCAAATTCCTTCAATTGGTTTTACACCTTCTTTTGGATCAAAACAATCAACAGGCATATTTGAAGGATTGAAAAAGATGCTGTTGAGTTTTTTCTTCAACCTACGTAACTAAGCTAGCTATCTGACCATGCTACGTCGAGGTCAGTTTACTGACAAGATGTGGCAAAATCGGGGTTAGGGCCTGAATCAACAACATGGCAGATTCACAAAACAAATCTTATTATAGATCTTGCAACTCGAGGCACTTCATATTCTAGAAAGAATGACGGCTACGCACAACACACAAGCGCAGAAGCACTTTATGCTCTAAACTGGGCATTATAGATAACTGGCGAGATAATTGAACATTTCAGGCCAAAATAGCCGAGTTGTAGATTTTTTCTATTTTGGTCCGAGAGAATTCCCTGGTCGATTCTCCAGTTCCAGCCTGAGTCAATAAACTCCAATTAACTTTTTCTTTGCAGAGAAGTAAGTGGTTCAGGGAAAGAGAGAAGGAAAAAAAAGCAAATTATACCTAAATTACAATCTCGATCAGGGCGCTGGGGGAATGGCGCTGCAACACAAACAGTGTGCATTAGAGGTGAGATTAGTGATCATTGTGTACACCGGTTTAGGAATCTCGCTTGCCATTGTGTCTAGTCTGCCTGGTACCCAGGCCAGTTAGTACACCGTCACATCAGCTCAGAAGTGCGACCTTGAACCTATATGTTGTTTTGATGCAATGTAGCTTTCTTTTTAGATTCTGTTCTATTGGAAAATGGGGGGATGCTATGTGGCGTTTTGCTGTGAAAAGGTTTTATATCTGCTTATACCACCTCTTAAATATTAAATAAAGAATTACAATTTTTTTAAAAAATGAAATGCGACCTTGAAAAGAGATCAGCTTTGCAATCCTTCCACCAGTGCCCTCAACCTGCTGTTACATATTATTATTAAAAAATGAGGCAGAAACAGCTTATGGAGCAGAGTGCTAGGGAACAGCTGCCCGGCACATTGATTTATATTGGTACTAGGTAAAGACAGGGTTAACAACAGGGGAAAAATCAAAATCATACAGACACACACAAAAAAGTAACAGTTCATGTAGAAATGAGCCAAGCATCTGGCTTATTGGCTGACATAACAAGATTGGTAGCACTCATCCATGTGACCTTAGACCAGAAGGCTTATTGAGGTTACTCGTAATTAGATTGAAAGCTCTTGGGACCACTGGTTTGTATATAGATCTCTGTTTCATCCACTGGTTGCAAAGTATTTTCTCTTCCTTTTTCATAAATTTCAACAGATTCCTGCTATCTAGGTCTGAAGAATTAGCCTTTAGGATTACAGTGTAAGCTCTTTGTGAATGGTCTTCCAACAATCAATTCTCTGGGGAAGTCTGTCAATATGTCGTCAGATAGTAAACTCATTAGAAGAGCTTCTTCCATTGCGTCACTAGATTGTAGATTCTTTTGGATAGGGTCTTGCAGTTGAGTATTCAACTATAAGCCCAGTGTAAATGTATTTAGATTGTAAGCCCATTGGGAAAGGACTCATCCTATAGGACGCTGTCTGGTGACTGGTATTCTCCCCTATAATGAGACTGTCATGATGGATGAGGTTTAGTAAATCTTGTGCTCCTGTGTCATGATAACAAATGTCTCTGGGTATCATTACGAAACACATGTTGGAGAATTACTCTCCATGAACAAAATATTAATAACATCTGTTACATCACGGTCTCCAACATCGATATCCCAGAAACTAATTTGCCTTAACTGATGGATAAATCATGAACAAGATAAACAGGGGAGATTTATAAAACTGATAATTGGAAACTACAGGGGGTAAGTTTTAATAGTGGTGTTATCATCTCAGAAACCAATGGAATAAACATAATCATCTCATTGGTTTCTATGGCAATCACTCCATTTTTTTTTTTACAACTTTGCACCATTTTTTCAATTATCAACATTTTTATAAATATTCCCACTGCGCTACCAAAAAAAGGTGATAATCCTTCCAAAACAAAAAACAGTAGCAACAGAAAGTCGTATGGTTTGGGTAAGTATGTAGTTTTGCAAGACATGCGTTGCGAACCAATTGAGTGGTTTCTCCAAAAGAGTTGTGGATGCAATTCGTAGTCATCCAGTTGAGACTACCCTCCATGCCACACCCACCTGGGTCTGACTTTAGTGAGGATTTAGTCTTTTATAAATCCAGTTATTATGCACTATTTCATAGAGATCTGTACTTGGCAACAGTCCCATGCTCACTATTGTTTATTCCTTGAATACTGGAAAGGCCCATATATATATATATATATATATATATATATATATAGATCAATCACCTGAACCTCCTGTTAATTGTCAGATTTATAGGTATTAATTGGCTCACCGGTTTAATGTGCTTTTTTTTTCTCCATTTCTATGTCATTTACTGGAAGAATGCTCTCATAGATAATTGACACTTTCTATAAAAATTGAACGCTTTGCAAGGTGCCGTCTGCCACAAATCTGCAAGTGCAGCCTGTCTCGTTGTTTGTCGAGAGAGGGGTTTATTCACTAAATTGGAAAATGGAAATTGACAATGAAGTTGATCATTTTAGGCCATAACAGATATACGGTACAATTTGGCAATTTCAGTGTGGCAATTGTGACCTGCAATAGTCTATCCTACACAATTGTCAATTTGTGAGCTGCTGTGAGTTACCAGCACAAAAAAAACCAAAATAAACAATACAAATAATGGCAGTCTGGGCTTTAAATTTAGCACCAAATGCTTTTGGAAAGTGACATTTTCGCAGGTTGTGAAGAGGACACATTTTCTATAAGGTGGGAGTGTAAGGGGGGGAAGCACGGTTTGTTTTTTACTCAATTACTGCACTGAGCTAACACCTTCACACAATCTTTACATCTTGTCGCACCTCTTGCGAGTTTCTCACTTTTTTCCCCCCTCTCTGCTTGCGTGTAAGATGAAGGTGTCAAAGTACGGCAGTGTGAGAGGGCGAGACCAGAAAGGCAAACCTTATGGGATAATACCCTGAGATATCCCCCTCACCGGTGACACTTTTTCTGGCTGTCTGGGGCTCGTCAGGAATTAGAGTGTGCGGAATACAGAGCACAAATCAGACTGGAGAGGGCGGCCTGATCTGTACATAAATCACAACTTCCATAATCATCAGTTAGCCTGTTGGACAGGGGCTCCCTTGTAATCTTAGCAACAAAACAACAGGAATTGCAGTTGAATGACAACTAGAAGACACAAATGACAGAAAATGACACAGAGAATGTGAGAACATTTCTCTCTCTCTGAGGAGACCGTATATTATAGAGTAGTGTTTGCATGGCAGGGAGGCCTGGCAGAGGTGGTAGAAACCACCATATAGGTGGTACGGCATTAGACGTGTGGCTGAAGGAGTAGCCAATGACTGGGCTATTCTGGAATATTTAAGGTGATGTTATTAACAACTGAGAAATATGAAACAGAAAATCAAACAAAACCAAAAT